GATCCCTGCTGGCTTGTGCTTTTAGCTTACCTTGCTGATATTTTTGACAAACTGAATTCTCTAAATGTCTCCTTGCAAGGAGTGGAAAGTACTATTTTTGACCTGCACAATGAGATATCAGCATACAAGAGACAGATAGATCTCTAGAAAACAAAGATCAAAACTGGTTTAAGCATTCCATTCCAGTGGTTAACTGACACTATCAACAAAACAGAATCTGAACTATTGAGCATTGTGGAACCAATCAAGAATCACTTGACTTCTCTCAGAGCCTGTTTGGATAAATATTTTCCCAGAGGAAATGCATCCCTGAATGACTGGATTAGCCAACCTTTTTAGCTGAGGCAGTGACCTTGTCCCATCTCCAAAATGACATTCAGGAGAACCTGACTGAACTTCAGAGTGATAGGACAATGGACATTCAATTCGGGAAAAATAGTCTTTGGGGGATTTTTGGTTGAAAGTTGGTTCAGAATATCCAGCTTTATCAAAGTGTGTGATCAAACCTATTTTACTGTTGAGCTCATCTTATTTGTGTGAGATCAGGTTCTCTGCACTGGCTGTGCTAAAGACAAAGCACTGTTCAAGACTGGAAGTGGAGGACAACCTCAAAGTGTCGGTTTCAAAAATCTCCCCACAAATTGATAAACTGCCTGCAAAGAAACAGGAACAACCTTCACACTAATTGGCAAGTATCTACGTATTTGAAACTTACAGGTGTAGGTAATTTAATTAATGTTGTGCTAAGGTCTCTGTTGGGTTTATGAATAGGCTATCAAGCATACTTTTGCATGCATAGGTGTTGGAACTAGAGGTGTTGCCACACTCCCTAGTGGTTTCCACCATGTACAGGGTTTACAATATGGCTCGTAGTACCCCCACTATACAAATTGTTGCAGCACCCATGTTTGCATGTGTCTATTTTTGTCGGGGGGCGGGGGAGGCACAGCCAAAACTTGTAACTCAAACAGGGGGCTCAGCTCAAAAGGTTTGAAAACTGCTGACTTAAAGGATGTGTTGACCCATTATACAGGAGAAGAATTTACTCCTGGGGGAATTCTGCACCACTGTGCGTGCATAATTAATGAGCTGTGCATACCTTTAAGTTTGGGGGCAGAAAAAAGCTTCTGCCAGAAAGTTGCTACAGTTCTGCCTTTGCCCACCAGATAGAACAGAGCAGCAGCTCCAGGCCAGTTAAGGAAGAGAAAGAGTCTGCCTTCTTCACAGTGCCTATTGGGCCAGGTCAGGAGACAGGGTCTATGGGAAGACAGACAGCGTGGGGCTGGGGGGGTCAGATAGGGGCTCATAAGGGCTAGTCGGAGAGGACAGACTGGGGCAGGAGCTAAATGGGAGTGAAGGCAAAGGGCCACAGGGGGGAGGGAGATGCTGGGCCACATGGTGACAGGGAGGGGCTGCAGGGCCACATAGGGATAGGGGTGGCTGAATGGGGGCACAGAGACACATGGAAACAGGAGGAGAGGGTGCGGGGTCACATGGGGATGCGGGAAGTGGGTGTATGAGTGGGGATGAAGGGACACATGTGGACAGGGCTGCAAGAACACACAGGGACAGGGGCAGATGTGCCTGACTAAAGGGGAAGCTGGGGTCAGCCAAGGTCTACATGGGGGAAGCTCCCTAACAATCCCTTCCCACCCACCTCAAAAAACCTGTTCCATACTTTTCCCACCCATATCCAACAACCCTCCAAGTTCACATCCAAACTCCCAGAAATTACTTCCCTCTCCCTCAGCTCCTCTATTAGCCCTGACTCTCTGAAGCCTTTGCACTGCTTTTGAGGGGAGTGGGAAATACGGTTCTGTATTGTAGTTTAAATGAATTATTACTCAGTTCTGTATTAATTTGCCTAGTAAGGAATCTATTTGTCAAAAACCATTTCCTGTACCTTTTTTGTTGTCTGTATTGTTACAGACATACTTGCTGACAGGTATTTTGAAATAAATGACCAAAAATAATTGAAACTGGTGTGATTAGATTGTGTTATCTTGACAAATAAAATATGCAGAATTTGAAAATATTGTGTGCAGAATTTTTATTTTTTTGTCACAGTATTCTCCCAGGAGAAAGAATTTCACCCTACATGCATACTTTGTGAATTCACACTGACCAGGTCATTTCACATTACTGAAAATTGCATGTTAGTGAGTCGGTGAACAAAAAGGCAGAGAATGCATCAAAAGTATTTTGTTCACTTATTTTAAAAGATATAGTTCGGTTTGTGTTGGTTATACCATAATGGAGCATAGTAAGTGTACCTAGTATAGCTTGTAACAATAATTACTACTTAACAAAAACACATCACTGCAGAACTCTGCTGTTTAAATGGCATCAGAGAAACTGGATAGGCAGCAATTTTTGGTGCTAACTGTGAATGTGTATGTTCCCTAAGTTCTACTGAATTTACGGAGATTTAAGGAGAATCAGAGCACCCCTGAGACAAAAATCTGGCCTTTGAGGCCACATTACACAGAACTGTGGTTACAAGAAACAAGTTGGTATTGAAAGTTTACAAAATATAAGTGAGTGTATTAATTCCGTACCAACTGTATGCAGTTAACTTTTTTCTGAGTAGCTAGGTTCACTAGCTCTTTTCAGAGAGCTAAAGTAAATATTAAAAAAATAATCATGCCTTGTTTTAGCAGTAAAAATACATTGTCCTCCAAAATTTCTACAAATATAAAACAAGCTCATAAACTGTAAATGGATTTGCTTACTTGTTATCAGACTTTTTGTAACTTGTCTATTTTCAGATTGTAAAAGGTGGCTTTGGGACCTTAAATGCTTGACAGATTTTATCTACTTTAGAAGTGTTACATGTGATTGAATTAAGTTCTCTCCAGGCTTGGATGCTCTGAAATCAATGAGTGTCTTGTTTTCAATGGGAGAAAGCTCAAGCCCCTTCAAATACTTGGTTTTGTTGGGGTTTTGTTTTGTTTTTGAGTGCAGCAGTTTGTTTAGACGTGTTTCAAAATTAGAATTAAGAGGAAATAAAGCAATCACTATCCACAGCATGTGCCCTGATGGCTGTCAGCAGTTAGTTAATCCTATTCCCATAAATTTCTAGTAAAAGATTAATAGTTTTTGGTATTATATTCATTTAAGTTGTTAGTTCATATCACAGCATGAAAAGAGATTTATACATACATGATGTTTTCCTATTTGAGTCTATTACAACACAATTGCTTCTCTCTTATCAAATCTAAGGCCCCATATGGTACATAGCTGTACTCAAATGAGTAGTCTTATTAATTTTGGTGTGACTGTTCATGTGAATAGAAGTTATATCTTTCCATGTTTTGAAGATCAAGGCCCTAATATGTAGCCTTATGAGAGCATCTGGCTGTCTTCCTCTTGAGCTGCTGCTAAAACATGCTATCCTTCTGAATTATGGATATAAATATTGGTGTAAAGTCCATTTTGTAAATGTAAGTACCCAACTCAATACATTATAGATATAGGTTTCAATTCAGTAGATACTTGCACATGTAAGTAACTTTACTCACTGGACTACTCCTACAAGCAAAATTAAGCATATATGAAGTGTTTCCAGGATTTCAAGATGACTGTAAAGCTCCATTTTTTTAAAAAAGAGAGCATCTTAAACCCTTTCTCACCACTTTTAATTTTTTTTCTTAAGAATGATCAGAGATTCCCTTTTCATACTAGAGACAAAGACAAGACTTACTGATGTCAGCCTCAAAATTCAATGTCATTTGAGACCTTTACCTCACATCCTTACTCTTAAGATTCTGCATACCAAAAACAAACAACAAAAAGCAAATAACTATTCAGTCTTAGGCTTTGTGGTTAAAAAAAACCAATTACCATTTAGAGAAAAAATTGCATTACTGCCACAATAAGTAATCCACAAAATCTGCATGCATTGCAGGTTTACAAGACATTTCTTCAGAATTCTACTGTACTTAAGTAAATAAAGGGGTATTAAAAAACTGCAATCATCTAACAAACCAGAATAAAATGCCACACTTGTTCTCTGTAATCTGAACAAAACACACATCAATCACTCCATAGACCCTTAGTGAGGGACTCCCTGGCAAGATGTGTTCTAACACAATTAAAATCACTTCTGTAGAGCAGGGTTAGAGGAGACAGAATAAGGAACAGAATCTAGATAGAGGAGGTAGCCATATTATGCTGCACTGTATATAGACATCAGGTCTTAACCCTTCTGACTGAAATATCTGTGGTCATATTAAGGAGCTACAATGAGTAAGGCAAACAAGATTGTGCTAACACTATGGAAGCAGGTGAATGGAAAATTTCATAGAGACCGTGAGCCACTCAGCAGACAAACTACTATTCAGGAACTTGAGAGGCTATAACCAGAGGGCCAAACATACGTGGACACAGATTTGGTGCATGGGGAGGGCTAGCCACATACCGTACTCTTTATATTCCAGAGCTATAGTGGCACACACGAGCTACTGTTATCTGGCTGGCTTAGACGCACCTAGCCCTATAGCGATGCACCAGGTAGGCAGGCTAACTCCCCAGCTCTGGATCTGTTCCACATCCTCTAGCCCCGTGGTTTTCCACCTGCCCTTCGAGGACCTCGTGGGGCGGGGCGCAAACTATGTCGAAGATTTCCAAAGGGGGTCTGAAATTGTCTAGGCGTTTGCAACTGAACAAACGTTGAAAAGCACCGCACTAGCCCGCTATGGCTTGGAAGAGTCACACCCACTCCGGGTGGGAGCTCTCCAGCTGCACCCCCCGCTGAAGACAGCAATAAGCCGAGGGCCAGGGCTGGCTCAGCGCGCCCCCCTGCCCACAGCGGTAGAGTCCCTCCCGCATGCCCTGGTCGCCGCAGAGCAGCGGCAGGAGCCGGGGGCTCAGCCCAACGCCCGGAGCGCCCAGCGCGGGGGAGCCCCAAGACCGGCTCAAAGGAGGCGTCTGCAGGCACCGCTTGCGCCAGCCCCAGCAGAGGCCAGGGAAGCAGCGGCTCCGGAGACCGGGCATCTCACCTGCCAGGCGCTCGGGCTGCTCCCGGGCTCCTCTCCAGCTGCCCCGGGCTTCTGCTGTGACAGAAGCCGCGAGGGCGGCGGCGGCGGCGGCGGCGGCCTCTCCAGGTAACAGCTGGGCTCCGGCTCCCGGGACCAGCCTCTCAGCAGCCAGCCGCCAGCCCCGCCCGCTGCTTGCTCCGAGCCGGGGGCAGGGCCAGGCGGGAGGCGGAGCTCGGGGAGGGGGGGCAGGGCGCTGCAGTCGGTGCAGCAGGAGCCGCGCGCGGCAGCTAGCGGAGGGAGGAACGGGGCTGGGCTGGGTCTAGACGCAGAGGGCCCCGCGCTCGGGGGGTGCCCACGCCAGGCCGTGCCCCAGGCAGGTCTCTTGCATGGCCTCGGTGAGGGGGCAAATGACAGGAGCTCAGCGTGCACCCAGTTCCCCTCCCCGGCCTGGGGCCGCTTGGCGCACACGTTTTGAACGGTTGGCCCAAGAGCCGTCCACACGCACAGGACCAGCTGAGGATGTCTGCTGTCCTAGGGGGACAGACATCTGCAGGAGGGCGCTATGCGTCTCCCACGTCTGTGGCGGGGACCCTCGCTCTGCACAGCCATGAGCCTGCCTCAATCCCATCCAACCGCCTCCAGCCTAGAAAGAGCGATGCAAAACCTAGAAAGAAAGGTCAAAGGAAAATGGAGTCAGGACTGGAGGGTTGGGATGAACAGAGAGCATCAAAGGCCAGAGTCTTCAGGGGAAGAGCAGGGACAAGCAGGGATGGGGGGAAATCCGAAGGGACCGGCGGAGTTGCATGAGCAGCATAGGAAACATCAGAGGAGTAGTCTGACAATAGAGAAACAGAATCAGTTTATTGAACCTTGTGTCAAAAGAAAAATCTGAAAGAAAAACAACATACGTAATTTCTGGAACTGTGCACTCTAGCATTAACTTTCTCCCAGTCCACAGACAGTAGTTAAAATCTGGACGATTTAAGGAATTTTTGCGAGGTAAGGGCTGCTTTGGACACTGCTTCTATGAATTACTGCTATCCACCCCTATGGTCTGCGTGAAATGAATTTGCTACGCTCAGGGTGGTTCCAAGTGAGCTAATGTCCACATCACAGGAAATGCCCTCACAATTTGTGCCCCTTGTTGGGAGTCTCAGCAGCAAGGATAAGGACTAAGTTGGGATTTTGATTGAATTATTCACTCTTCCAGAACAGAGTTGAGCCACATTGGTAATTGTGCCTGGATGTGAGCTACGTAACTGTTTACTTTGTTGTTAGATTCACTCCAGTTATAACATATAGAACATATATACATTTTTAATGGTTCTTTTCTATTGACTTCTGTAGCTAGATCTGTGTAAACCAGCATGGTTGAGTGGTTGGAGCAAGGTACCAGGAGTTATGAGAACTAGCATCTATTCCAAAGTTTGTCACAAGCTTTGAGCAAGGCATGTAACCTCTCTGTAATTCAGTTACTTCATATCTAATCTGTGGGGGATTTTATGGGGATAGTAAGACTTTTTGAGATCTTCAGATGAAAAGTGCTCTGTACATTATTATAAGGTTAACACTGTACAGATGATCTATTTATCTACTTGTTTTTATTAAAATGTAAGTAAAATGTATGGACATAGAAAAACATTTTTTAGTTTTGCTTGTAAGAGATGAGAGGTGAAAGGAAGAGGATGATGAGAAAGGATACCTATATTTAGAGAGGGGAAATGAAAAGCACAAAAGGCCTTTCATCTGTGAAAGGAAAAAGGCAAAAGACAGATATGGCAAAAACCAGCTGTCTCCGTATTCATACCCCTCTCTTACCCTCCTTTGAATCAGAGCAGTCGCTGTGTTAGTTAGTACCCATTACGCCTTTGGCATTTAGGGTAGTCCCTCTGAGGGTACCTAAAAATCAACAAGCAACAGTAGTTGAAGGTCAAAGTGTATTTAGTAGACCTACTGCAAAAAACAAAAACAAAAAATATATAGCACTGATTTATTTGATTCATTATCACCCAGAGTAAGTCAGAGAGGCCTCTTTTTGTCTCCAGGCTTGACATACAAGATCAATTGAGTTTATTAATCTGTGGCACTATGTCAGGTGGTCATGTGTGCAGTCTGAGGGGTTAGGTATCTCCTGATTTGCACAAATCCATGAAGAGAAAGAAAAAGAGTATTAGTGTAAGGAATGATCAGGTTAGTCCAATGTTTGAAATGACACCTAAAAAAATCTAAGGTGCACACTTAATGTAGCTCTCTGAAGCTGTGACCCATCGATTATCTGATGGGTCCAAGAGGAAAGCAAAACAAAAAGCCATAATGCATCTTGCCAAATTGTGCAAATATTGTAAATATGAGAAAAAACTCTTCCCATCCCTCTTAATTCTCCAAGTTGATCATAAAATGAGGTTAGTTTTTAAATTATGAGGGGAAAAAGCATGGTAGCTTAGGTGCTAAAGTATGTAGGATATTGGCTATTTGGTTTATGCAACTTGCTAATGAGTTGACAACAAATGACGACAAAATACAGCAGAAACCGTCTTGCAGACTACACAGCAAATAAAAACAGGCCAAGAGGTTTGATAAGGGCTCACATTTCTTTCACTTATAAAAGCCAATTTCGTCCAGAAGCTAACATGAACTTGAAAATGTATAAATACTGTTTCCTAATTCAAATGGTAGAATGTTGGCTATGGTGAATTGTCCACATTTTCCAAGTCTTGATTTTATGGGTGTGTATGTTCATGTGTGAGGATCCAAATCAGGCAGATGCAATAAGCAGGATCTTCAGCTGGTGTAAATCAGCACAGTTCTTGTTGACTTCATTATTGCACGAGAATGCGGAACAGGACTGAGGGAAAGCAATGCAACTATGCCAATATATACATGCTGAGGATCTAGCTCACTATTTGTAAAAACTGGAAATATACTGGTGAATACTCTTCAGAACTGCTGCTGAATACACCAGTATAGACTGGAACAAAAATTACAGTTGTTAAATACAGAAGAATCCTATGCAGATTTTCAGTGTCCACTTCCTCATGTATACCAACTTTCAGATTCCTCAGGATTGAAATTGTGTTCATTAAACTAGAAGGGTGAGAAAAGATGTAATGGTTTTGTTAAGGCTTCTGGCTTTTTTTTAAAACTGAAAAATGTGCCAATATATATTTTTTTCTAAATGCCTGTATAGCTACCGGACCCCATTTTGTTGGTAGTTTTTTTTTATTTAGTCAGACGATTCCCTCAGTCTGGATCTGCTCTCTAGTGGAATACTGATTCAAAGTAGAAAGCTGATGACATGGCATGTGTATGACATACACAGTTTGGTGGCTTTAACTGACAGCTACAAGTTGTAACAATAAGCCTCTACCATTAAGTCTGTTCTATAACCTGTAAGAATTCAGTTTATAGTGCAATATGGCATAGAATTTCCAAAAGTGCTAAAGGGCAACACTGAGTACCTTTGAAAAGTCTACCCTACATGTCTATGGAATGATAGTAGTGCCACAGATTAATAAACTCAATTTATCTTGTATGTCAGGCCTGGAGACAAGAAGAGGAGAGTCACCTGTATTTGCTTTTGACTTAATCTTGTAAGGTTGGATTAGAAAGTTGTGGTTACATTTCCTACCCCTAACATGGGCTCATACTTACAGGCTGGCAGATATTAGACTAAGATGGCACCTGCTGTGTTTGGTTGTTTATTCAGAATGGTAAAGATGGGAGATAACCCTAGCTGTAGTTCTTTTATCCAGTTATACCACTGAAGAATAATCAATTTAAATGCAAACAGCTGCAGCTGCATGTAAGATGTCATTGTACACACAATAGCAGGCTTAGATGCCAGGTTCTCATTCATGCACCATAGGAATGTAATTCATTTCACTATGATATAAGGTGACATAACAGAACACAACTGCTCAGCCAGTGTCATTGTGAAAGTGAAGCACAGCAGGCCACAAAGACTGCAGAAATTATTCCAGTGCAGTGACCATAAATGTCATATAATACCAGACAGACAACATTGCAGCACATAACCAAGCTTCTCCATCTTCTGTTCTATTTCTTAAAGAAGGCCTTCATTCCAGGGAAAGCATACATCCATTTACCTATTGCTTGATTTTCATAATCAGCCTTGCCAAGTTTTCAGGTAAAGTTCTAAAGCTATCCCTGTGGCATCATAATTATTTCTACAACGACAAATAGTGTTGTCACAAATTAGACTTATTCCTGTGAGATCAAACAAAGATTGTAGATTGTAAACTGTGCAGAGTAGAAATTTTCTCTTACCGTGTATTTGTACAGTGTCTGGGTATAGTACATTTAATAATAGTGAAGTTAGGCTATGAGGAGGAAAGCTGAAATCCAGGTTGAAGTGGCCATAATAATAACAAAAGGAATACAGAAAATGCCTGGTGATGAGCTTTCATTTTTTTTAAATTCACAATATGCCTGTTGCAATACTGCTGTTTATCATAGATATGCCGGTAAGGCTGCATGTATGGTTGCTAATATGAAGTTCCCTTTACTGAAATGCTTGCAGCAGAGCCAATGACTGTAACTGATATTTCATTTCCATCTGCAACAAATACACCATCGCCTGTGTGGTATATTTTGATGTAATGTACATCCAAAGTAGTAATGGGTTTTTGATAAGTCATGTTTAAATATGGAGCATAGAGTTTCTCTTTGCTTGGCATGTTATATAAACATAGCAATGCTAGGAGCTAAAAGGTACATCACAGCTCATGCATCAAGGAATACTGAGAGGAAAGTCCCAGTATTGTATGGACGATGCAGATAATTCTTTAAAATTACTAGATAACATGAAACAGCCTTATATCTAATACTAGTATGTCATGTCTCAATAATCTGTACATAAAATGCTGTGAAGGCAAACAACAGCATATATAGCGAAAAAAGATCAGGCTGTAATAAGATAGACAGAAAATACCACTATGTGATTTATCAGCCATCTGGCACAATCCAAGCAACACTCATTCATGGGAGGTTCTAGTTTTCTGATTAGTTACCACAGCAACAGGTCTTCAGAGTATGCTTTAACGTCATGCACCTGTCAGCACCCATTTGACTACACAGTTTACCTTATGCACTGGTGGGCTGCCAAAGATGACATTCTTCCCAGTTTACTTTTTTGTTTGCACCAAGTCTTCCATTATACAAT